TGCTAAGATTTAAACCTATGTACACTTGTTCTGAACGGTAAATCAAAAAGACAAGTAAATTTACTGATGTTGGAAGGTTTAGTCGATGAGATTTATTAAATGTGAAACATATGTACCTAATTATATGTCATACATATAATTACATGACATATAATTTATGTATATGAAATTTCTACAAAAATTACTATTATATATATGTGAATTACGCAAATATCACCGCATGTATTACTATTATACATATAATTACTAATTTATGTATTATGTAAACGTGCCAGCTCCATTGTTGCATCATTATATATGTATATGAAATTACTGCTATCGCGTCGTAATTATAGAATGACAATATAGTTCAGTGGCAATATTCAAATTATTATTCATGTAAGTACAAATAATTCATAAATATTTGTTTTATTACAGATATTTCTAACTGTAATAACTATTATTAGGCTAAGTTGTGTATACATGTATACACTTGTTCGTGTGAATCCAACCCTTGTATACACATGATCAAATGATGAAACTAAGTCAAGTTAAGTAGTTGTATCTACATAGTACCAAGTTATGGTGTTTTGTTTCACGCATTAATATAATTTGATAGTCGGAAATAAGAATTAAAAGATATTAGCCAAAATTAAATGTAAATTAAACTTAATACTTCTCTAATATTGATTCTCTTTTAGGTGTCATGGCAAATAAACACTTTTTATTTAATGCATATGTGTAATCAACAAAGCAGCTGAATTTTTTGTTAATCAAAGAAAATAATTAAGTAGAAGTGACATCCCCAACTTAGATATTCTGCCTTAACTTACAACATATAATGTATTAATGATAATGTATTATGTAAATCATTTTATTATATAGTTATATTTCTACTTCAGAAAATATTACACTGGATCGCAAATTATTTTGATGTTTTTCAAAAAGTTCTTTTTCTTTGTTCGTAGTAACTAAGATAAATCTATATAGTGGAAGTTGATCCTATAACCGGAATTACCAATTTATAAGTATTATTACACGCGAGTTAAATCAAATAAAATAGAGTTTTCTGCAAAACAAACTCTTAAGTGGATTTTTTTTGCAAGTTTAACCTCGACTTGCAGAAAATGCAAGTCAACCCCTCACATCATGGTCAACCCGCTAAATAACCCTTGTCTATAACAGATGTTATATCGGTTACGGAATAACAAACGCTGCGTTTTGAGCAATATGGAACTGATCGAAAATCATGTTGTTTTTTATGTAACACATGGTTTTATCTCTTTATATCTTTCAACTCGTTGAGCATTTGGGGGAAAAAAACAAAATTAGGTTTTGCTCTGTCGATCTTCTTCTTCTTCTCTTGTTGAGGCTCCATTGGCGACAAAATTGAAGATTGTTAGTGTATCTGCTTCCGAGGTTAGTGAATTTTGTATCTTGTTGATTTTAAATGGTAAAAATGTCGAATGCGGAAATTATCATAACTGAGAAATGTGAGGGGTCGAGTTTTGTATCTTGTTGATTCGAGTTCATGTGAGGGGTCGAGTTTCTGAATTGAGAAATGCTTAGAGAATGTGGATCTATGGATTCGAGTACATGTGAGGGGTCGAGTTTCTGATTCATAAAATAGATTATGTTTTTTGTTTATGTTTCGAAAGAGATTAAGCCGTTTGATTGATAGAGAGACTGTTTGGTTTCTTTTATCACTTCCCACAGAGATGGACATTCACAGCTACATGCAGCTTTCAACAAATGTTTCAAGTGTGACGAGAAACATCAAAGATTTTGGGCTTATGAAGGAATGTTATTGTGGAGCTAAGACCATTATCGATACTTCCCACACGCCGATTGATCCAGGAAGGAGGTTCTACACTTGCATGAATGTAGGAGATGGAGATTGTCACATTTGGAAGTGGTGGGACGAAGCAGTCATGGAGGAGCTAAGTCTCATTGATGGCAATGTTGGTGAAATAACAGAGAAGATGGATTTCTTCACTTACTTGGATGATTTTTATATGGCTACTGGGGAAATCAAGGAGCTGAGGAATGAGACTACGAAGAAGATCGCAAAGTTGGAAATGGAGTTGGCCGAGATGAAGAAGAAGCAAAGTGGCATAAGAATCGGCTTTGAGCTGCAAATTGTGATTGCTGCAGCTGTGGTTCTTCTCTTACTCAGCATTCTTATTTGCCTTAAGTAAGACATTAGTAGTTTGACATTAGCTCTGTATTTTGTAAGACATTCGAAGTTTAGGTATGTTAACGGCTGTAGATCCTTCATTTTCAAGCTTGTAAGGGTCTATATGTATAGATGTTTATGTGTCTTATGTATTTGATCAGATTGGTAACTAAGCTTCTTCTTCCTCTTCTTTTGCTGTTTTGGTATCAAAATACACAACAAAGTTTGAAAATACATAATACCCAAGTCAAAATACATAATCAGTATTTGAAAGAAGATTGAGAATCAAAATACATAACAAATTCATGGAAACAGCAGAGTTTGAGACACACAATCAATGTTCGAAAGAATAAAGAGTTTGACACAAAAGAAACTGAGACACATAATCACTTCACGCTCTTCTCACTATTCTTCCCACCAGCAGCAGCACGAGCACGAGCAGCTAATTTCTTCTTCTCTCTTGAACGATAGAGAGTACTTGGCAGGATGGTGTTGTCACTTGTATCTGTCACACGTGAGCCAACTGCGATGTAGTCGTCACCAGTAATGGAGCTTGTAAAGAGACCAACTCCTTCCTGCACAATAAACAAAGTCATCACCAAGTGTTTACACAAATACACATAGCCACCAAATGTTTACACAATCATTCGAACTTACCCTCGGAAGATGTACTGGTCCTCTATCATAAATAGGTTCTCGTGGAGTTGTAAGGTTTGATTGCGAGGATGAAACACCATCAAATTGACTTTTGCGAGGTCTTCCTCTACGCCTTTTTGGGAGAGCAGCTGAAAGACTTGGAAGATCTTCCATTGGTTGGCTTTGTGCAACAAGTTGAGCAGATACTACCGGTGCTTGAAAAGACGATGCAGATATAACAGACACTTGAGAAGACATCACTGGTGCTTGAGAAGACGATGCTTCCGTAACCGGTCGTATCCTTGGCCTCCCACGTGGGTTTGAAGGCGGCTTATCAACAGGTAGACTCTTACAATATAGCCTGTTGTGTCCTTCTTGTCCACATAGGCCGCAATGCTGTCAAAAGTGTATCAACAATTACAAGTTTAGTGTTGTGCTGTGCAAAGATAAAAACAGTATTTCAAGATTCAGAACACCTACAATTTTAGTTCCTCTCTTAGGAATCATTCCCGGTCTTGTTTCACTAACTTCTCTCTTTCTTTTCTTCACTGGAGGTCTCCCAAGAGGCCTCTTATATGGAGGTGGATTTACACGAGCATAAGTGCTATTCCACATGTTTATGCCTTCAACCGCCTTCAATGGAGTAGCATAGCAGCTTCTTAGCTTCTCTACGGTGAACCAGTGAGAAAGAAGAAGATTTGGATCTTGATCAGCGTGTCTCTCCATACGCAGGGCAGAAAGCATGTGGCAGCAAGGGATGCCACTGACTTTATACATCCTGCAGCCACAACTCGGTTCACCTCTCATTTGCACTACAAACCTGTCATTAAAATAGGCAACCTCATACTCGCCTAAACCACAACTTAAAGGGATACAATCTTTTGTTTTGTAAATCTGTTGGTCCAATAAAGCCTTTGCTCTAGGAGTGTAAGATCCTTTAGCTTTCTCTGCCTCGGATCGCTTCTTCTCATTCGAAGTCATCACACATCTTCTAATGTCTTCAAGCATCTCAACCACGGGTTTGGTCCTTGCAATCCGAATGGCTGCATTGAAAGACTCTCCTAGATTGTTTTCAACGGCATCACACTTTGAAAACTCACTGAAATATGCCCTGTCAACATAATAAATAGAGCTACGTTACAAATATAACCGAAAATGAGCCAGAATACAAAGAATACAAACAGAAAACTCACCTTGACCATGGACAGTAAACGGGTATCCTCAAATCATCATAAGCAGACTGAGATAGATGCTTCAATTCATTCATTTTTATCTTAAAGGCTGCAGGGTAGTAAGAATCTGCAGCTCCCCAGAATAAGTCTTTAAAGTCTGCTCCAGAATATTTCTTTTTCCAATTCGCGTGGACATGTCTTGCACATAATGTATGCTCTGCAAACGGTAGCACGTCTTTCACTGCTCCAATCAAACCTTTACACTGGTCACTAGCAAGTGTCAGCCCATTTCCAGTTTCCAGATCCAAGTCGTTAGACAAATGCTCAAAAAACCACTCCCAGTTTGGCGTGTTCTCAACATCTACAATGCCCCAAGCTATGGAAAACATCTGATCGTTTGGGTCTCTTCCACAAGCCACCAAAAGCTGACCAGTCATCCTCCATTTCAGAAATGTTCCGTCGATGTGGATTATCTTCCTACATGATGACTTCCATCCTTCTTTCAAAGCATGAAAACAAACGAAGAACCTCGCATTCAACTGTCGATCCAGGACTAGTCTTTTTCAACTCACCAACGTAATCGTGGATTCTTGCAAATGACTCGGCTTGCTCATCATCAAATGTCTGCAAGCACTTTAACCGTGTCCGCTCACATAGTGTTTCTGAAACATTTATGTTGTGTTTCATGAGCTTCTTCTGTAGTTGCTTTGCCGAGATCTTCGGATTGATCCTAAATTCTTCTATGTAGATGTCAGCAATTCGAGCATTTGTCAGCAAAGAGACCCTACCTTGCCATGTGCAGTTATGCACATCATTGAACGACCTAACAACCACTCTAATACTGCTGCTGTTTATAGATGCATAAATCCTCCATGGACACATCTTGTCTGAAGAAATTGCTACTACACACTTGCTATCTGACTTCTCAAAACTAAGATCTCTCCTCTTCCTCACTGCATATCGAGTAATAGCATTCTTGAAGGACTCGATTGATCTGTATTCTTGCCCCAACCTAAACATGCGATACTTACTTTCATCTACTTGTGCAACAACATTGGCCAGATCACTATCACCACTACTCTCGTGCTCTTCTTCATCTTGCTCGTAATATTATCATCAGCCTCTGAATCTGAATCACTGTCACCACTACTACTGTCACTACGACCGTTTTCTTCAGGAATCTCATCTGACAAGCGCAATACTCTAACACTTGAATGCCTCCCAATATATGGATCATCTTCTCGAACCACATATAGAGTCGTAGCTCCTGATCCCAAAGCATAATTCAGCACTTTCCTTCTTAAAATCTCATCATCCTCTACGACTTCTTTCTTGTGAGGTGTTTCTGGTGGAAACCACGACACTTTGCTCATGTTCTCGTCATACCCATAGAGCTCCTTTACGTACATAGAAACAGACTTCAAGGTAAATGTCTCCTCACTTAACCTACCCACCATATGAGCCTCTCCACCATGATATAATCCTTCTTCTGACCAATAACCACCAGCATACAGGTACAAATCAAAGCTGCACGAGAGAGGTAGTTTGTTAGCTTCAGTGATTTGCATATTCACAAATGAAAATTTAGATGAAGATCATTTTCGGGTACACACAGTTACATCCACAATGAAACACAATTTCAATCTTAAACATGTGAAATCAATACTTACAATGTACAGAAATTAGAAGAAAATTTGAATCATAAAGATACATACCTTGACACTGTCGACATTCTCTACAACCAAGTAAATCCCGTCGAATATCCTGATAGGATTTGTCAAGAACACAACTGCCTTGAATACTTGACTTCCGTCGATTTCAAAGTCAAATTTATGAATCGATTAACCCTCACCAACCCAATTGTCGAATTGATCTAACCTAACCCATCACCACGAAATCTCTCATCCTCACAAAATTTTTTCAGAGCAATCCTCAAGTTTTGATTTTTAGTTCTTTCCCTAAATCGATTTGGGGTTAACCCGATGATCTATCCCAAATAAGACTCCTGCCATTTTTTAAGATCAAAACAACACACATTTGCTGACTTCATGTCGTTTTTATCTGATTAAAACGCAACGTTTTACAATCCGTCTGAAAATCAGACGACATTTACTACGTCATTAGATAAGGGTTATTTAGCGGGTTGACCATGATGTGAGGAGTTGACTTGCATTTTCGGCAAGTCGAGGTTAAACTTGTAAAAAAAATCCACTTGAGGGTTTGTTTTGCAGAAAACCCAATAAAATACTTCGATACTTTTCTACCAAATTCACAAAAAAACTTAGATGAATTCCAAACAAAAAAATTAAATTTCATACCAATATCTTTGATCTACAAATAATCTTGGAGAATCAGATACGTGGAAATCAGTTCCAGCGATGAGTTTCAAAATTGTGCATCCAAATCGCGATTCCAGCTGGGATTTCCTTCAAATTGGAAATCCACTATCTAAATCGCGATTCCAGCTGAAATCACAAGCTGCGCATGTATCTCCTCTTCATGCCGCATCAGAGAAGCTGATCGTAATTGCAGCTGGGATTTCCTTCAAATTAATCGGTCAAAATCTGTAAACTTTGCTTCTGCTTTGCTTGTGCTTCTTGCCAATCACAGGCTTCTCTGATTGCTTTACTCATTGTTTCCTCTGTAGAGAAGACAGGTTATTACCAAAAATTTGCTTCCTCACTGAGCAGATAGCCCAAAGGATCTAAGGCGCCAGCAGAGCAAGGAGGTAACCACACAACATCATTTGTTTCTCTTAGTCATTGAACTGGGGATAAGAAATTTGCTGAGAGAACAGTTTGCAGGATGGTTGCTTTTTCCCACACTTTTCTTGCAAACTGGCATTGATATAATGTATGTGTTGTAACGTTGATCTTTTGAATCCCATTTGTTTATCTTTCATTAAAAAGACCTATTTGGTTGACTCGTTTATCTTTCTTTGCAGTTTATGTCGATTTGGCAACTGTTGCTGGCTTTATATGGTGGTTTGTTTACTCTGATGGTGGTCCTAAGCTTAGTTACAGTGAACTGGTTAGTTTTAATCCAGCTAAATTGTAGATATTATTTCATCGTTGAATCTGATTTTTTGTACATTCTTCACCATTCATGTGTGTTAACCTCCGCATTTTCGAAGTTATTACCCAAGTTTCTGATCATACACTTCATATCAAACGTTATTATCTGTAATGGAATCTATTTTCACTATATATATTTGAGAATGAATAAATCTCATTTCAGATAAACTTTGAAACGTGCGCACTTAGAGAGACAACATATCCATGCAGCATTTTTGAGGATCGGCATCAATCGACTGTGGCAATGACAGTACTTGTTGTTGTAGAGATGTTTAATGCTCTCAATAACATCAGCGAACAATAATCCCTTCTGTAACTGTAAGTGTAGCTTCTTCCTTTATTTCTTTCCTTGTTATCGGCTTATTCTGTTATGATTCGCTTCAGTATCATAGTGTACTGCATTAGGGAGTCTTAATTATTTCAAACAATAGAATGCTATGTAGTATGTATAAAGTATATGTGGCGGAGTGTCATCCACGAACAAAAATTGGATTATGCAACTTCACAAGTTGGTACGTGATTGTATTAGCTTGACTAAAGATGGGATGTGATTGCAGGGTTCTAACCCCAAGGAGTAATTTATGGCTCGTTGGTTCAATTATCATGACCATGGTTCTGCACATACTAATATCATATGTTCATCCACTGGCAGTCTTATTTTCGGTAAGTTTCCGCTCCTCCGAAATACTTGTACAAAAGCTGACGTAACCACACAACACCATTTGTTTATCTTAGTCTTTGAATTGGAAATAGGAAAATTTGCTGAGAGAATAGGTTGCTAGATCGTTGTTTTTTTCCACACTTGTCTTGCAAACTGGCATTGATATAGCTTATGTGTTGTAACATTGATCTTCTTTAGTTTTATAAATCTCTATCAGTATTAGAAATATTGGTAAAGATTTGCATTGTGTTTCTGTTTCTGTGTTTTCTGTTTTGCAAATTATAACATGAACTCACAAATAAAATCCAAATTTGAAAAACTCTCTAAAATATCACATAAATTGTAGACAACCTAATTAACAGCATATAAAGCAAACTCATACCTAAAAAAACACAGTTGCAAAGTTAAACATATAGAATCCTATATATACACATCGAGATAAATAAAAAAGCCATTATGATTAATGTGTTTATCTGTTGATGCCCCTATCTGAAGACATCTTTGACACATGTACCTGAAAATAATATTCTTGAGCTGTTAAGAACATGGCTTGGAAAGAAAATCCATGACTATTTAAATATAGTTACTACCTTAACATTCATCAAACTTGGCTGAAATTTTGAAATATTTCTTTATATACAACATTTGTTGTTTTCTTTGCCCTCTTGCATTCTTCGTCAATGATAAGAATCTTTAAACCTCCTCTACTTTTAACTCTTGAGACAGCAACATATAGTTGACCATGTGCAAAAACAGGTCTCGGTAAATAGATTCCCACATGAGCCAAACTCTGACCTTGGCTCTTGTTAATTGCCATTCCAAAGCACGGAGAAACTGGAAATTGTCTCCGTTGAAATTTAAAAGGCAATCTAGCATCTGTAGGAGTAAGCATCATTCTTGGAAGATAGACCTTGTTTCCCACATTGTTACCCGTAATGACTTTTGCTTCAATGATATGAGCTCCTAATTGTATAACTTGCAACCTAGTTCCATTGACCAAACTACATTTCTGGTCAATGTTTCTCATAAGCATAACTGGAACTCATTTCTTTAGCTTTAGAACATGATTTGGCAGTCCCGCACACTTAATTGAGTTAAGGAACTCAATTGTCACATCATCATCTCTAACAACGCTGGAATCTGAAGCACATATTTTATCAGAACTATAATATATCTGTAATTCTCCCGGAAGAAGATCCATAATGTGATTGTTGACCTCACTAACAACATCATTGGTAGGACATAATATTGCATGGTCTTTAAAAAACGACTCCTCCTCTAGATGTTCTATCAATGACGGATACACGGCATTAGTGATTGACGTGATTGGATCAAGTGAGTCCATGAGAAGCATGTCATCTGGTATATCAATCACTGCTTCCCCATCATTAGGTTCAGATAACTTCCCATAGCCTAGTTTTAGAATCCATTGAGAGAACTCTTTAATAGATTCAATCTCCGCTGGCTCTGAATCAACAGTTAGCCGCATATTCTTCGTTAAGCTAAGCACTTTGCAAGATTTCCAGAGCACAGAAGAAGTGAGAGAAGCTTGTACAATTTTTTTCCTGCTCCCCTTAGGAATCACTGGGAGCACTTGCCGAAAATCACCCCCGAAAACAATGGTCTTCCCACCAAACGGCCTATTATAGTTCGGATTCTTTGATGCTCTTAAAACGTCTTTCAAGCTTCTATCTAGGGTTTCAAAAGAATGTTTATGCAGCATTGGTGCCTCATCCCAAATGATCAACTTGGCTTTCAATAACAGTTGAGCTAACTCACTGTTTGTGGAAAACGAGCAAGTGGAACTTTCCTTCAGATCTATCGGTATTGAAAATCGAGAATGCGCTGTGCGTCCTCCATCTAGTAACAGTGCTGCCATTCCGCTCGAAGCTACATTCAAGATGATGTCTCCAATGGACTGAATGTATGTGGATATAGTCTTCCAAAGAAATGTTTTCCTTGTCCCTCCAAACTCATTGACAAAAAAAGTACCACCAGAATTTATTTCAACAGCTTTCATGATATTATTATAAATATCTCTTTGTTCAGACGTCAATCTAGGCAGCAATGTTTGATGTTCTTGAGCACATGCAGCCATGTCATAACAAAGCTTATCATTTATCAACTTGTTGACCAGTGAAGGAATATTAGTGTTTGTAGGAAATGGCATTGTAGTGTAGTTCTCTAGAGTATTTCCGTTTGAGCGCAACTGCTTCTCAATCTCCAACAACGTTTGGTTCTTTAACTGGTCATCAGACATTTCTAGACCTGAAAATATAAACCACATGAACATTAATAGAAAAAAAAAATAATCTATATAGTTGCTAAAATGTGTAGAAAACTCGTTCTATTATAAAGACAAACCTGGTCGTTGGAGGGTTGCATGTTGCATATATAAAATATCATCCGCAAGCAAATGCCATGTTTCCGACCAAACATGATGAGGTTGTGACAAACTTTGTGTAACTAAAAGATAAACGAAAACCCGACGCAAGTAAAAGCTTGACCCCCATTTACTGGTTTCTGCTTCAATATACTCATTGTCATTATCAAGTAGACCTAGAGCATAGCAAGCTTCTTTGTAGGATATATACGCAATTCCATTAACTACACTTATATAATCAAAGGATGTTGGTCCTTTAACTTTATTTAAAAGGATCCCTATGTAGAATCGATCACCGGCAGATGGTGAAGCATGATGGATTCTACCAACAACTGGTTTCCGCTCACGCCAAGTCCAATTCTTTTCTGACTTGTTCCATCTAAAGAATTTTGGAAATTCAATGTAAGTCAACTTCTTTGCATCAGAGTTTTGACTACACATTTTCATGAACTCCAAAAATTGTGATGTTTGGTTTTTCTCGTTTGCCAATACATCATCAATATCATCTTCACCGTCGAATGTGACATTGTGTTCTCCTTCTAAATGGAAAGTCAACCTCTGAACAGATATACTACTTTAATGTAGGTCAAACCCCAATATTCGCCAAACTGCTTCACATGGTGATATATACCTGTAAAATATTTAGATAAGCAAACTCAATAAACTGTAATCGACACTCAAGATATTGTATGGTTAGTGTTATATAAACTCACCGACAATCAAGGAAACGTGTGATTTCGTCTACTATATCTTCAGAACCTGACTCTGCATTTGATGACTCTCGCAATAGTTTTGCAGTGACTCGATCATTTCATTTATTGATGTATTTGAATAAATACTTGATTGCTCTTATTTGATTGCACCACTCAACATTTATATGAGCTTGATATTTGAGTAGTAGATGTGGATTATAAGGAATGATATACCTGTTATCAATCTGAATCCCAGTTTTCTCAATTAATCTACCATCATCTCTTCTTCTATAAACCGGAAATCCATACATATTTATTGACGTATGTCTCAGCAGATAAGTCTTGAGGAAAATTCTTTGAACATGTTCCTTTAACCATGCATGGTGACTTCGGATTTGCTAACCCACATGGACCATAAACCATTATATCCTTAATTGTATCATATAGCATTGGATTAGATGATTGATCAAGAATTTCAGCACATATAAACTTATCAATGTCAAAGGTTGTAGGAAGCTTTGATCCTCGCTTTAGAAACAGCAAAATGTGGGCATGTGAAAATCCTCTTTTCTGGAATTCAACTGTATATATTACTGTTTCAATTGAAAAAAAAACTATTAGAATATTGTAAAAGACTCAAAATCTTCATGTTTTGAACATGTAATAGTTTTTACCTGCTGCTGATGGACCAAAGAGGTTGTTGTTTTTTATGTCAAATATAAGACTGTCCAACTTCATCTTGAATACTCATGATAGAATATCAGGTCTGTCTTTTGATTGCAGATGTCTCATACTTAGATATCTTGTAACTTCAGGCCATTTAGGATTGCAAGTGAATGTTATGAATAAATCTGGATAGCCAAAGTGTGAACAAACAGCCATTGCATCCTTATACTTTTCATACATGTATCTTGGACCACCCACACACGTTGCAGGTAAGACAATCCTTCCGCACATTAATGAATCTTTATTTCCAGTAGAAGCAAAAGCTGAAACATTGCTATAACTTTCTGCACGTAAAATCTTCTGCTTAAGCCTGAGAAATCATATTCTCTCTGCTTCCATCATTGTGAATGCATCAACCAGAAATTGTTGAAATAGTTTTCCAGTATACAGAAGAACATTGAACTGGCGGCCACGTTCCATGATTTTGTATGCAAAAAACGCTTTCATACTAACTCTAACTCTTGGATGTGCCGATGTATTCGTTGTTTTCTTTGGATGCAAATCAATATGATATCCATCTTCTCCATATGGAAATAGGATTGGATATTGTAAAGGAAGATATGCTGGGTGAAGTTCACTGATTCTTGCGAGTTTCCTGCTCTTTGTTTCCACGACAATATCTCTTGCCTCAAAGTTATCATCAAAATCTCCAACCAAAAGTGCAGCAACTTCTGAGAATATAGGCATAATATAAGTGTTAGCATTAGTTGAACGCCCTGAAATAAATCTGACCTTGACATTCATGGATTCCAGTGAATCTCCAAAACGGTCTTTAGCTGTTCGGAGAATCTTTGCGTATGGGTTGGTCTCGTTTAGCATAATTTTGATTGCTTCCACAATATCATCTCTAAGTACTTTTAATTCAGAACTTGGTGGTGTTCTTTTTGAACTGCAATTATAGAGATATGTTAGTAATGAGATTAAAATGATGATAATACGTTTATATGTAGTTAATATCTATCGAATATATGAAAAGATTAACCTGAATTCTGAAATTATGTTTGCGTTTTCATTGACAGTATCAAAAATGTAAAGTTGTTGGCATTTTGGAGGAGAGCCATCTGAAGGGAGTAAGCTTCCAATCAAGTGATAATTTTGACCCAATAGTCGAAAAACAGGAGATCCACGTCCTTTGTTGATAGAAGCATCAATTTTCTCTCCCATGGAAGTGAATGCAAACATCGAATTGTAAGGCCTAATATTCTCTCTGAAATTTTTGCTTAGGTTGTCTCCTTTAAACAGAAGA